TGACCACTCCTAAAAGACCTTTTCAGTTTCTATTCTGAGGAGGAAATACATTAACTGGCCTTGTGTTGATCAATGTTACACATTTCAGAACGCTCCAAATACCAGGATTTACCACCTGGGTGAGAAAAGGAAAAAAAAAATCATGTTTATTTGCAGCTACCTGATAAAAGGATTTCCCTTAACAGCCATAACACACACACACACACACACACACACACACACACACACTCACTCTCTCTCCCTCCCTCTCTCTCTCTCTCTCTCTCTCTCTCTCTCACTCTCTATCTCTCTCTCACTGTAATGTGCAATTTATAAAGAACTGTTAGGTATCACCTACCTTTTACTAAATGGAGCATATGTTTAAGGTAGGGGTCACAAGCCAAAGGCCTACAGAGATAGAGGGCAGGCAGCAGCTGAGACGAGGCAGGCTGAGTGAGTATCTATGGGCTGGGGAGTGGTGTATGTCCTGCCTCAACGAGGCATTCGGCTCCAGCCCGGGACTGCTGGGCAGGAAAACAGGCCTGTGTTCTGGTCCCATTCCATCACAACTTCATGTCTTTCAAACAAATCCAAAACCTACATTTTTTTTTTCTTTTACTTTTTTAGAGACAAGGTTTCTCCATGTTAGTCAGGCTGGTCTTGAACTCCCAATCTTCGGTGATCCGCCCGCCTCGGCCTCCCAAAGTGCTGGGATTACAAGCATGAGCCACCGTGCCCGGCTGCAAAACCTACATTTTTACATCTAAAAAATCCCAATTCTGGAGAATGTATAAGTCACATAAAAACTGTGTGAAGCTTCCTGGGAGTGGCCAGTTTATAATCTCTGCGTGCTTTCCACTGCAGACTATAACTGTCCCTATCGCTAGACTGGGGAGCCTTCTCACCTGGCACAAGCTCAGCTTCCCCCCAACCTCTGTCTGCAGAGGTTGGAGTCAGGACACTCCTGGCTGGGCCGTGTACGGCCGTCCACCTGTCCCTTCCCACCTGCCCTCACTACTCAGAGCCCCATCAACACATCAATCATAGACCACACGATGCTAAACACAAGAAGCCCTGACCTGAATTAACCCTCACTCTCACAGGGTGGCAGTGGGGCCTCCTTTGTCCCCATCTCCCCTCTCCCAACTCCTGGGCCCTCTGGTGGTACTCAGGACTGGTCCTCAGCCAATCTTCTATGTCTTCAATCTCTCTGCTGAACATTGCTGCCACCCTCTTATCTAACTGGAATCTCCCCTGAGGACACACCTCCTGGGGCCCTTCCAAGTGGGGAAGTCTCCCTGCTTCTGGGAGCTGCTTCTGGACTGTTTCTCTTCACCCTCCCCAAAACCCCCAGCTGGGAAACTCTCATTATCAGAGTAAATCATCCACTACCCCTCCCCGTGCGTTATCTGTCAACCCAGACAACTATTCCTTTCTTCCTAACTTTAGCTCTGGGCCTGCCACCTCTCCGGCTGCTCTTACCAGTCTTGGAGATTTCTACATCCAGGCAGATGGTCCTCTGGCCTCTTGGTCCCAAGGCCTCCAGCTGATCTCATCCCACCCTCACCGCCCTCCCTCTCAGGGTCACACTTAGACCTATCTCAGTAACTGCCACCTCTTCAGAAGCTCCCTCTCATGCATCTCACTCACTACCCACTGCATCCTGTCTTCTTCATTCCCTTCAGGACCTCAACTCCGACAATCTACTTGCCCTACCACCTCCGCCCTCTGCCCCCCTCACGTCTCCACACAGAACTAATTCCTTGACCTACCCCCATTCTCACTCCCTCACACATTCTCTGCTCACTCCTCCCTCACCACCACACTTATCTGGCAGCACGGAGCTGCAGGCAACACCTCACTCCCAGTGCATGACTTGCTTCCCGAGAAAACAGAAGCAATCAGGAGGGAGAGAGGAAAAAAAAAAATCAAACTGCCTCCTGCCTTGGATTAAGCTGTTCAAGCTTTCAAACAAACAGAACTTGTGATAAGTGAGGGCATGAGTTCACCCAGCCAGACACTAGTACTTCTGAAAGGTCAGTAGGTCCAGCCGGCGGCAGCAGTCAGGGAGGCCACTCTGAACAGAGAATGCCTCTGCAGTGAGACCTGGCTTTGTCAATTACTACTGTCAAGTGACCTTGGACAAGGCGCATAACTTCACCACCGCACCCGGCTGTTTTAAAGGTTAAAGGGCACATTCAAGCTCAGAGTAAGCACCAGAGGTAACAAGAGGCCAGGTAACTAGAAGGTACATCCTAACGTAATTACTTCACCTGAAAAAGTCCAGCAGGGCTTTGCTGCCAAAATTCCAGTTCTGACTGCAAGAATGGTCAACGTCTGCATTCCCGACTCCCAGTCACCTACAGCCCAGCCTCTCCCCACCAATTCAATTTTTCCTCCTGCCTGGAGCATAGGGAAATTAACCACTCCCCAGAAGTTACTACAGGTGATGACTTGGTGCCCACATATCCTGCTCTCTTTTTTCTCTCTCTTGAGGAGTCTTGCTCTGTTGCTCAGGCTGGAGTGCAGTGGCACGATCTCAAGCGATTCTCCTGCCTCAGCCTCCAGAATAGCCGGGACTACAGGTGTGCACCACCACAGCCAGCTAATTTTTGGTAGAGACGGGGTTTCACCATGTTGCCTAAGCTGGTCCTGAATTCCTAGCCTCAAGTGATCTGCCTGCCTCAGCCTCCCAAAGTGCTGGGATTACAGGCATGAGCCACCGCACCCAGCTTTCTTTTTTTTTTGGGGGGGACAGAGTTTCACTCTTGGTGCCCAGGCTGGAATGCAGTGGTGCCATCTCAGCTCACTGCAACATCCACCTCCTGGGTTCAAGCGTTTCTCCTGCCTCAGCCTCCTTAGTAGCTGGGATTACAGGCACCTGCCACCACGTCTGGCTACTTCTTTGTTTTTTTTTTGTTTGTTTTTTTTCTTTTTC